GTGATTGAGAGGTTTGTTGTGCTTGCTTGTTGGGTTGCACAATTTTTGTCGTCTACATATCAGTATGGTTATATAGTAGTAGTAGTAGTAGTAGTAGTAATAATAATGATGAATAATATTCTTAATAATAAAAATATAGAAATTAAATGAACCAAATATTACTTCACTGTTAAATTTTAAAAATTGAGTTTCAGAGATATATTCTTAAATGCTCCATTTAATTTTAGTGAAATATTGCAATAGTAATAACAATGGTCATGTTTTTTCATATTGTTTAAAAATAAAAAATATAAAAATGATTTACAAAGTATTGCTATTGTGATATTTCACTGTAAAATAAAACATTTTGTATTTAAGAAATTTTATTATTTTATTAAATGCTACATTTGTTTAATTTTAAAGTGAGATTACAATAGTAATATTTAATTTAATTTTTATATTTAAATAAAATCAATGTAAAATTAAATGAACAGTGTTACTTTTGTAATTTCTCTGTAAACTTAATCAATTTAGTATTTAAGCAATAATAAAAATTACTTTTGTAATTTTACTGTCAAATTTTAAATTACGAATGTAATATTTTTGAACTGTAAAGTTACAATACTAATATTTAGGTATTAAATTTTTCATTTTCAAACTCTTCACTCTGAAACATGCAGCACATTTAATTTAATCGCATGTCGCAATTTTGATTATTCGTGCAGCTCTACCTCCTTGGCGTGATTTGAAAATGTTATACAAAACACTTAATTGTTCAACCAAATTGCTGTTCTGGATTAGATTGAAGCATCACTGCAGGTTTGTCTTCTTGGCACCGGAGGTGTTTTTCATGAACATCTGTCTACAGCAGTGTTTCTCAACCCTGGTCCTGAGCGCCCCCCAACACTGCACATTTTGTATGTCTCCCTTATCTGACACCCATTTCAGGTCCTGGAGTTTCTTTTAATGAGCTAATGAGTTGAATCAGGCGTGTTTGATTAGGGAGACACACAAAATGTGCAGTGCTGGGGGGCGCCCAGGACCAGGGTTGAGAAACACTGGTCTACAGCATGCCAGTCTCATAGTTTCTGAAAGCATGGACTTGACTAATCAAACAGAATTAGAGTAGGAAAATATTGTCTCTTGTAAGTGACGACATAATTAACATGTTAGCATTTCAAGCACTTTGGCACCTCTCTAAATTTGAGTTCCTCTCTAAATTTCTCCTCACTAGGTATAAGTGATATCTGTAGTAACCCTGCCCTGGTAGGTAACGCTCATGAATTAATGTGACCCTCCTGTTGCGTTTGAATCCCTTCCCATCATTCCCCATACTGACCACTAACACGCTCCGCTCTTTTGCTTGTTTTCCTCTCTTTAACCATCGTGAGTTGCCATTAGCATCTGTATTGTTTCTGTATGTTGAAGCATCCGGTTTGCTCTCCAAATTAAACCCCAGTTTGACTTGTTCCCCCTGGAGTCTTTTCACGCTGAGGGTGGAAAAAAAGACCGGCTGCGCTCGTGCTGTCATGCCATTGGTGGAACCCAGTGTCAGTCATTGCTGTGCCATTCCTAGGGCCTTATGAAGCCCTTTCTTTCTTTTTTTCTTTTTTCAGTTTTTATTTATCTGGATTGTTTCAGTGGTTAAATTATATTTTAGTAATCAAAAATGATGTCTAGTTAATTATGAAACTTATACAATTGAATTTGAGTTTAACAAATTCCATTTTTAGCCTATGAAATCCATTTTTATTTCTCAAATTCAATTTTTTGCCAAATTCTGTTTTGTTTTTGTATTTTGTTTTAAGCTCTCTGGATTCTGTTTTAGTAGTTAAATTATATTTTAGTAATCAAAAATCATGTATAGTTAATTAGTCAAAGTTTTCTTCAGTTTCTCAAGTTTTAACAAATTACGTTTTAGGGCCTTATGAAATCCATTTTTGTTTCTTAATTTCAGTTTAGTTTATTTAGTAATTAAAAAGCACGTCTAATTATTTGAAATCATGAAACTTACGCAGTTTAACAATTTATTTAGTTTAACAAATATTTTAGGGCCTTAGTGCAACTTAGGGCCTTAGGGTAACTTAGTGCAGTTTGGGGAAAATTGTAATGTTTAATTTCTTTTATGGAAATAAAGTTTTGCATTGAAAAAAGAAAATAGATTTTTGTTTGTATATGCTGTCAATTATAGTTCTTAGATTGAAAGTCGGAATCTGTAAAAATCGCAATCGGTGCATCTCCAATATGTGTGTATATATCTTATATAAAATTAATACAAAAGTATATATTGACATGATGAAATAATCATTCATCAATCTGTACTTTTAATACTTGCGTACATTAGTAAAAGTATTTTTTAGATAGGAGTACTTAATGCGATCTGTGTACTTCGTCTACCACTGTAACTTTGAGAAGTGCTGGTCAAAGGTTGTGCAGGCCTTTGAGTGTGTGTGTGATTTATAGTTTTATCAAATTAAACGGTAAAATGCTTGTGAAGTTATACTGTAAATTCCACTTATGACTAAGTTCCGCAGTTTCTTCATCACAGAAATCATAGGGCCCTAAGACCTTTAATTAGTGGCTGTGTGATCGGATTGGCTGAAACGTGTACGGACCCAGAGCCTGAGCTGTTTTTACACTCGAAATGCATTTTGTGTGTATATAAATAACACTTCCTCCTCTTGGTGTTTTACAGAAGGATGCCAACCCTCCAGAGGAGTGCAAACAGCAGTGATGGTTTCGCCGCCACCTTCAGGATCCCCTACACTGTAACGGCTTCAAACAAACATAGTTACTTACCGCCTTACAATGTTTTGTATTTTTCTTGGTAGAAATAATTGAAAAATAAAGGGTTTCGAGATTTTTGTTACAAAAAAAGAAAAAAACAACAACTTATCTATCGAGAGCCGTGGCTCATGACGCATAGTATTTTACTAGACCGGTTTCTTTTGTTTTCCTTTTTCTCTGTAAGAATAGTTAGAATGCAGAAAATCCCTCGAAGCATGACACTCGTTTCTTCACCGCTAAACTAGTTGGGTTCTCGTGAAGTCTTTTGTATTGCTCTTAGACAACAGCTGGGGAAAGACGGTTTATAGGAGAAGCGTCTGGAGAGATTCATTTGGTTAACATTCCACAAAAACGTCACTATTTTTGGTTCGGAGGCCGTTTAAAGCTCGGTGGTGATTGATGTACATTCCACATCCATTCAGTCGACGCTCTGCTGCATGACTCGTTTCTTTTCTATGAGCACTTTGTATTTTCGTCATGTATCGGTAGCGTTTTTTTTCTCATCGATTCAACCAATGCTTAACTTTCAACTGGCTTGCCGTTATTCAGGTGGGTTTTCTGCTTCACACGTCCCGGAATGCACTTACAACGATCCAAGCGACCTCATTGGAAGATTAGACTTTGAACAAGAGAACCTGATTGGAGGAGCCAGTTTAGTTAGTCTCTGATTGGCTGGTTTCTGAGCTCGGCCCTGAGTGATGTTTGTGGTGAAACGCCACCCCTGTTTGGCAGGCCTATCACTGTGAAGGGGTGTGTGCGTGTGTGTGCGCGTGCGTGTGTGTGTTCAGAGGAAGTTCTTCGTCTCCTCTCACTGTAGCGCAGCCCAGCAGGTCTGAAGCAGATAGAGCAATATTTTCACCCAGAAATCCCAAACGCCGCAGTATCCCGTGTCTCATAGCCCGGCTCTGTGCTCACGTGTGGAGCAGGGTGTTCGGGTCGTCGGTCGGTTAGTTAGTTGTGTCTGAACGGTTGAAGCAGCAGGGGTCTTTCTGGTTCCCCTCAGCAGCTGTTGTCGAAGCAAAATGCCATGCTACAAAATAATAATGTACTCAATAACTGTACGTGGATGTATATTCATGAAAAATAAATTGGTAAAATGTGCAAGCCTTGGTCGGTCTCATTCTGTTCAAGTGTAAAGCTTATTAGTTAAGGTTGTAATTTAAGCATCAGTTTTATGATTGGTTGTCAATAGGTAAATATTTGTAATGATTCAATGGCTCCAGTAGGCGGCACCGTTGAGTTTAAGTTGCTTATTAAATTTGACCACTCAAATTATCAATTTTGATTTCATTTAATAATCATTTTTTGAGTGATGAAATAGGTCTGTTACTTATTCCAAAAGATGCAGTTTAAAGATTAAATGTGTAATTGGTTTATATCATTAAATGTTGCTGAAAGTAACGATCATCTCGGTGAAAATTTGTAATGGAAGAGAAAAATAAGATTATTTACAATAAAAAAATTATATTGCATTTGTCTAATGATTTTATTATTTTTATTTTATTATTAATATTTGTATTGCGGACTCATGACAGCATGCAATAGTTAATTTGAATCATAAACGTGTTAAGTGTTAAATTAGGGTAGTTTTATATCGAGTCTTGTTAATATATTACCAATGTTATAGTATTAAGTTTTTATTTGTAATTAGAATCTTATTTTATATAGTTTAATTTTACTAAAAATAAAATGAATTTTAGTAATTTTGTTTTCGTTATTTTTAGTCAGTGTATTCGATTTTTTTTTTATGGTTTTAGTTCTGGAGTTATAATAATCCTGATGAGTGCATATTGCAAAAGTTTATAAAAAATTATTGTAATTTAATATTTATATTAACTATTTAAATCTGAAGAGGAATACTTTAATGCTAGTTTGTTTCAAATAGTTGAAACATCGTATTTTAATTACATAATACTATTGTAATATTTAATTAATGTAGCATTTCTCTTTCCAAATGTTTTAAATGTTCACATTAAATGACAATCTATTTTAGAATAGGACTGATTCCTAAAAATGCTTCCTGTAGCCTAGGTATAGGCGATTTACTTGGTTTTCTGAGACAGTCCGTGATGAACTTGAGTGTGTGTGTGTGTGTGTGTGTGTGTGTGTGTGTGCAAACACATGGGTGGAGTATGAACACGCCCTGTGGTAACTTTAGTCTTTCCCTGGTTCTTTTAAAACAACCTGTGGGAGTGTCTGGACCGAGTTGCGTGCATGCAGTGGGCGGTCCGCGCGTGAGAGAAAACCCCCGCGCGCGCTCAGTCCCGATCATCACAGTCCTCGCAGGCTAGGGACTTACATCCATCCATCTGTCCACCCTCAGCCCCGAACCCGGAGCGTTTGATGCGCGATCGGAGGCGATGCTGGAGTCCGGTGGCGGCGCACGCGTGCTGAAGGAGGGCGTGCTGGAGAAGCGCAGCGACGGGCTGCTGCAGCTGTGGAAGAAGAAGCGCTGCGTGCTGACCGAGGATGGACTGATGCTTCACCCACCCAAACACCACCACCAGCACCACCACGACGCCGGCTGCAAGGTGAAGGAGCTGCACTTCGCCAACATGAAGACGGTGGACTGCGTGGAGCGCAAGGGGAAGTACGTGTACTTCACGGTGGTGATGTCGGAGGGCAGAGAGGTCGACTTCAGGTGCCCGCAGGACGAGGGCTGGAACGCGGAGATCACGCTGCAGATGGTCCAGTACAAGAACCGCCAGGCGATCTTGGCCGTCAAGTCCAGCCGGCAGAAGCAGCAGCTGCTCGTGGTCTCCGCGCAGAAGATGCTCCGAAACGCGCAGTAGCCGCGGAGACCGACGGACATTCCCTCGCGCAGAGCGGAGCTCGCGGGCGTCGCTTTTTATTAGTGTCACCTTGTGCACTTGGACGCTCTTCATGCATCACGGCTGAATAACCGCCGGGAATATCTCCCCAGAGACTGAACGGGGGGCCGGGGCAAGTTGTCACAGTTACGTTGAGAGCCAAAAGTCAATTTGCATGAACGCTCGTATTGTCTAGCAGTGGTTATGCGTGTTGCTTTAATACGTATAGTTCAAAGCAGACTTAAATTAGAATGGGTTTTGTGAATACTGCCCTCCAAAAGAGAACTGTAATGATTTTTTTGTGTAGTAGGCATTTGGTGAACTGTAAAACCTTGGGATTTATTAAGGTAAGAGTCATAAATATAGAAGGTGATTTCAGATAGATTGGGGAAAATGTCCCAATTATCCTGAATGAGCTCCTAATGAAGGTCGATTTGGAATCTCTATTAGTATTTTCCAAAAAATGTCAGGTTGGGGCAAGTTGTCACATCGTAATTTATTAAACTTTTTTTTGTATCTTTCTTGAATTTTGTTTGATATAATTTGTATTTTTTTCTATTTTTTTTAATAACTAAAAAAATATATTTTAAAAAAGTTATATTTCTTCAATATTTCTTTATATTTTTTTCCCCAAGTCAGTCAAAAAATTTGAATGTTCCCATTGTGACAACATGCCCCGCTATATGCATTCAATGAACTATGTTTTCTAGACAGGAGTAGTGTAAAAGTTCATATGATTTTTTTTTTTTTAGCAACGACTTTAGAGTCTGTATTCATACAAAAATTGACTGGTCGAAAAAAATACACTGGAGTATAAGGTGTGACAACTAGCCCCGTCTCCCTTGTAATATGTTGATGGTTGTAAATGTGAAACGCCTCCAGTGCGTCCTCGTTCGTCTGGCTCGAACAGAAATGCCACCATCACTTTCCATTATAGCGCAGCTGCATTTGTCAGTTGTGTGCGGATCCGGACGTGTAATCGATATCTTCCGGGAGACCTGAAAGGCCAATCTGTTTAATGAGACTCCTAAACGCCGCGTTCAGTGGCACATTGGAAAACCCAGTGATCCTGACAGATCCACCACCAGTCATTCACGGAGTCTCTCACTGGAGATGCACAGCGTTTAATGTGGCCATGAATCTGCATATGATTATGTATTTATTTGTACATACTTTTTTGTAACAGGTCATTTGCATATCGAATGTTGGGTTATGTTTGTTGAAGTACACTTATGCATTTCAGAATCTCACAATAAGCTTTTGATTTTCGTTTGTTTGTGTAACTGGTTTGGATGCACGATTCACATTTGACCAAGTGCTTTTTGTTGTTATTCAAACCAAAGAATGTCGAAACATTTTATTGGGTGCATCTGCATCATGTTGACATGATTTAACTGGTATTTTGTTAAGGTTTGATCATTGCAGTCGTTGACTCAACTGGATATTGTTGATTCATGAGAAATGTCCCGATGCTCTGCTGTCAAGTCCTGCGTGTGATCGAGCTGATGTTTGCTTGTGTGAAAATGGTGTTTTGTTGATTGAACGGCATCGTTCCTTGAGCTGATGTGAATGCCACTTTCATACCTTGGAAATATACATTCCATTTCAAATGAACATTGCATCTTTGTTTTTGTTTAGTGCAGTACATTGTAGGGATTTTGCGGTACCAAGATGTATATGAGTTTGTTTCTTCATCAGATTTGGAGAAATGTAGCATTGCATCACTTGCTCACCAATGGATGCTCTGCAGTGAATGGGTGCCGTCAGAATGAGAGCTGATTAAAACATCACAATAATCCACAAGTAATCCACACCACTCCAGTCCATCAGTTAACATCTCGAGAAGCCAAAAGCTGCCTGTTTGTAAGAAATAAATCCATCATCAAGACGTTTTAACTTCAAACCGTTGCTTCCAGCTAAAATACAAGCCCATAATCCATAATAATGGCCATGTCCTGTTGTGTCTCACATCAAAATCCTCCCACATATTTGTTCAGATCTGTTTTGGACTGTTTTGGCTTGTAAACGCTGTTTGGTCTGTGTAGATTTCTCTCCTGATTCAGACCAGATGACTTTTTCACTGTAAACAATTATATTATGGATTATGGACTCGTATTTTAGTCAGAAGCAGTGGTTTGAAGTTAAAAACGTCTTAATAATGGATTTCTTTCTTACAAACACGCAGCTTTTGGCTTTACAAGACATTAACTGATGGAGTGGTGTGGATTATTGAGATGTTTTTATCAGCTGTTTGGACTCATTCTGACGGCACCCATTCACTGCAGAGCATCCATTGCTGAGCAAGAGATGCAATGCTACATTTCTCCAAATCTGATGAAGAAACAAACTCATCTACGTCTTGGAAGGCCTGAGGGTGAGGACATTTGCAGCTAATGTTCATTTTTAGCTGAACTATTCCTTTAAACTCGATTGTTTCTTCAAACTTGAAAATGAGTTATAGAAGGTGACCGTTCATGTGTGCCGCGTTGCTGAAAATTCAAATCACATTTGCATTGCTTTGCACGTTTTTTTCAGTCACACACTTGTGTTTCAGGCCTCATCGTTCACGTTTCCAGCGTGTCTCGTGTCTCCTCTGTGAAGCACTTGCCTGTCTTCCTGAGCTATAAGTGGAAGCCGTTTCCTAGAATAATATTTCACTGTCAAAGCTGTCAGTAAGACGAAGTGTTGGCATCTCCCTGGCTCCGACGCACCCGGCTAACTTAATTAAAACCCGGATGCTAAATCAGAACGAGGACCCCAGTGAAGGATGCATGTGTGTGTTATTGGATCCACATGACCTTTATAGACGAGGACGGTTCATTACATCACACTGGAGCTGTACTTTAGTGTCATGTAATAGTTCCTGTGTCGATTTGGGACGTGATCAGCAGAAGATGCATATAAAGTCATGCTGACAGATGCACGTGTGCGTATCAGTACATGCGACTGCTTCACTCCGCATGGCTGAGATTCTTTCAAAGGCCTCGCAGGGCATTATGGGAGCGAGTGTGTAAAAATGGCAGACTGACTCATTCTCTGCCCAGTGTGTACACACACTGATCGTCTATTTTTACGCTTGTACAGCTCTGTAATCTGAGTTGTGTGCCAGGATCGTCACTCTTATAGCTGCTGATTTTGTTACTAGCCACATCCGTTCGTCACATTAAACCACAGAAAACTTGTGGCATTTCTCACACCATTATGGATTTCAAACTCAAAAAATCTGATATTAACTGGATGTCAGGCCACATATTTGACTTTAATTTGATTTTTGTGCTGTATTTCTTGCATTTCTAGACTGTAAACCAGGATGATGATATTTAACTAAAACTAAAACTATAAAAATGTTGTTACTTGATATAAACAATGAAATATTGTATTAATAATAAATAAACTTTATTTTATTAAATTATCTTATAACATTTTTTTATTTTTTAATTTTATCGCATAAAAATGAAATAAAATATTTCAAAATTATTATTATTATTTATGGATAAATTTTTTAGATAATTGCCAAGAAAACATTTTTCATTTTCTTGGTAAAATTTTCCAATAAGGTTTTGACATTAGTTAACTACATTAGTTAACATGAACTAACAATGAAAAAGACTTCTACTAAAGTATTTATTAATCTGTTAGTTTAAACATTTATTAATACATTATTAAATCAGTAAAGTTAATATTATTTAATGGACTTGAGCTTGCATGAACAGTTGTATTTTTATTAACTAACATGAACAAAAATTTATAAATACTGTAACAAATGTTTTATTCATTGTTAGTCAATGTATTAAGTTAACTAATGAGACTTTATTGTAATGTACTAAAATAACAAACTCAAATTAAAATAAAAACTATATATACAAAACTAATAAAAATGACAAACAAAATTGCTAAAACTTTAGCTAAATTTAAATTGAAAATGTAAAATATAGCTAAAAAAATAGACATAAAAAAACTAAATTAAATCTTAATAAAAACTATAGTTTCTCAATGATGCTGAAATAACACTGCTATAAACAACATTAATACATGAATTAATCCTCTTGAGTACATTTTTATCCACAGTCAGTTCCTAAAATAAGCAAATGTTAGATGATGACTATCACTTAGACTAGTTTTGGCCGGAGCTTCAGCAGTGTTTCTGCTACAGAATCACTGTACTTTTCGAGTTGCTGGTTACTCGCTGTAATCATTCACTCCTTCCAGCAGTGCATGGTGTGGAATTAAACCAGAGCTGATTATCAGAGCAGTAAGTATAGGATGGAGAGATGCACTGAAAACAAGCCAAAGACTGAGCCGGAGGGCCAGAGAACCCAATATTCCTGCTTTAATAACACATTTTTATTTTTTATTTTTTTCTTATTTTATGAAGGACTTTAGCTCTGTTCCAAACTTCCTTGCTGCCTACATAGATAGCTACCTTATAAGGCAGCATCCTAAATGAAACTGAACGTTTGGTCACACAAATAGTGCACATGGCAATATATATCACACAAATATTGGTGCACTTCTAATTGGAATTGAACTGTTTTTATTGAGAGGCCTAATTTTCAGATTTAGGGGGGAAAATGTAATAACTAATCAAAAGAGTAATTTGGTTTCATTCTCTATTCTTCTGTCACAAATTCTTGTGAATGTCAGCTGATGACAATGATTGTCAGATTAACCAAATGAAATCCCCTGCTGGGTCGCTGGTTAGATATTTGCTGTTAAAGGATATTTGTTATTAACTTGATGTCTGTTGAAAAAGCTGACAAAGATATATATATATACTCCATAAAACAGTTTTGAAATTTGCCAATGTAAAGACTGTAAGCCTAATTTTAGTCCTCAGTACACAATTTTGTCTTCAGTCTAAAATAATCGTGATTTGAACTGTAATAGTCTCAATTTTCCTTTAAAAACATTCACTTCAGATGCATTATGAAGTATTCTAGCTGAAAGGCTAAATGAAATGATCTCCTCTTGAACAGCAGACCTTAAATTTCCTGTCCTAACCCACTTGACTTTGCCACGGGACCTGCCCTTGTGTCTGTAATGGGTGAGTGATCTCTCGAACAGAGAGCCCTTTCTCTCTCGCTCTCTCTTCTGCAGCCTGCACCTGTTCCCGCTCACCCTGCAGCCAGTCACACCAGTCTTCATTAGCGCAGCTGCTGCCGCCCCTCAGCCCTCAAGACAGGAAGTCCGATTAGATAAGGAATGTCACCTTGCCCATATCAAGTGCTGCCGACCCGAATAAGACACATGACGCCGCTGCTGATTTACATCAGTGAGTGAGTAAACACTACAGAAACAGCAATCTTAACTGTGTCTTTACACAGCTGAGTTAAGTTTGCTCTGTGCCTGATCAAAGTTCAGCTTAAAGATGCAATGCTGTATAAAACCAGACTAAATTATTCCTGCTCAGACCCAGCTCAGCCCCGAGTATCAAAGCATACAGTGGTAATTGCTGTGTAAATGCATTCATGCCACCTCTGAACAGCATTAAACAGTCTGTG